CATCCTGACAATCCGCAAGTGCCGCCAGCCAAAACAACTACCGAGCGCGAACTTCAACGTACATTACGATACACTGCAATGGGAACGCCACGTATCCGATGCCATTCAGCAACACTTCGAAGCCAACAACCATTAGATCCAACCATTCCTCATCTCCAGCCTCTTACTCATCATTTCTAACATGCTAATAATAATTCAATTCTTTTTTAATTACTTAACTTCCAACCGCCGTTTTATTCCTTCTTTAAAACATATGTAATTGCCCGCTTGTCATATTACAGAACCATGTGTTTTTATCAACATCTATAGCTATTACGATTTATGCCCAAACTCCACTTTGCTGATTTATATTCTCTCTGTTGCTGCCCTATTATTTTTGTGAGCAAACTTACTGATAATCTGTGTGGCTAATTTGTCGCCTAGAACAACATTAAAGTTAAGTCTGTTTGTGAATGCGTACGCTAAGCAAACCAGCAATCTGTACGTTTTGCAACTTTATTCATCAGCTGGCAGAAAGGAAAAGGAAAAAGTGAAGTGTTGTCGAGTGACCATCGGTCAACATGCGTTGAAACGGCTGTATGTAATTGCCTGGAGGCAAGTAGGAGGAACAGATACATGTATAACGAATAGGCGAGCAGGATGACCATTAGGTATACATACAGCATGCGCATACACAGGTAACGGGCGTTACAATATGACGGAAAACATGACGTTCCCTGCGAAGTACATGTGCTCCGTTAAGGATACAGAAATTATTCTACAACCACTGCTCATTTAGCCGCTCATGACGGAGAGACGAATACGATAGAACGAATGCCATAATAATAATATCAATCCTACCGATCTGACACGACGACAAAGAATGAGCTTATATCTCAATGTGTCATAACTAAATAATATGCATAAGCTGATCTACGCGAAGCGAGAATCTGACAATGCATTCCGACGACATTTTTAATGGTAAACTCCGACAATGCCAAACTCCGAATGAGAAACAGAACGTAATACCGGTATCGCAACCGTGGGACTTATATACGCGCTATATATAGGCGCATTCCGTTAGAAACCAAAATGCAATTCCGAACACAAAATGAAACTTCTCGACAGTACAAGATTAATACTGCCGCAAAAATACGAGTACAGATATTATGAAAGTACGTATTACCGTATACCATATTCAGATATTCCGTCACTCAGTTGTTCACATATTTGTTGGGATATCAATTATTGTATACGGTAAATGATTTTCTAGTCCTTCATGGAATAAACTACTTTACGGGACACAATTACAGTAGATAACGTTATGTGTTTAGGTTTTCATTTCACCCTTTTATAAGAGTTTGTCCCATTCACTTTACCAGGGCCAGTGAGCCTCAAAATTCAAAAAAATCCCATCTTTGCAGAAATTTAAACTATTGCCATAGTATGTTTAAAAATAATTTAGGGAATTTTAGATCTCTCTAACTGCACACATACAGGGAGATTTCCCAGTGAGCATGTTTTAGCGTAACCACACTTGTGGTGCTAGCGCTACATAAATGAATACATAATAGTGCTCTTGTAGCATGTAGTAATCGTGCTGCTTCGTAATGCACCATTACGAATCTCACTATACTGCATGCGATAAAGTAAAAAATATCCTACTTGATAGCACTTTTACTTACAGCGTTACTATCATTTTACAATCACCAATTTAACTGAAAGCGAAGAACTTTTACGTATTTATTATAAATTAGTCCCCCTTAAGCCGTCTGGCCCTGGCCTGCAGTACGTAAGACACGGCCTATGTCAAAACGCAGGCAGAATTTCCTGCCGACCGAATTTTTGTGGGGTCAAAACGCCGGCCGAATTTTGTCAACATTTTCAACTTCAACTTTCAAGTAGTTATAAAAATAAATAATATGAAATATATTACGGGACTCGAGGAACATAATGTCCGTAGCACGGTGTAGAGCCGCGCTCTGCGAAGTGCGAACTATATATTTGGCATCGTCTGTGTCCGGTCCATGCTGACGCATGCACGCCATTCTGCAACGTTCTGATATGCGGTAAGAAAGTATATACAGTAAAACCTGTCTTTTACACACACCGGTAAATACATACACCTGGAAATTACATACGCGGAAAGTTTAACCGGCGCGTCCCATAGACTGTAATATAGCTCTGTGTAATACAATCTGACTAAATGAGGACGCTACGGTCTATGTTAAAAAGCCAGCGAACAGCCTTTTTTGCCCGCTGAGGCTGGTTGATCAATGCAGCCTCTCTGTTGTGACTATAAGCAGACCGAAGACAGCGGATTCCAGTGCTGCCAAAAAGCGCAAGCTGAATGCTGCCATGCTGTATTGATCGAGCGGCACATGTGTGTGCGAGTGGGTTAATCCGCTCGCATTCACTTACACACGTATGAGTGTGGCTTTTTGTGCGCGTACGAGATGTAGAAACCGGTTTTCGCTGTCTTCGCTAGAACGCACACCCTAAACCCGTAGCTTCCTTTCTTGCTCGCATTGTACATACACCTGGATAACACATACGGTTTTGCTTTAACCGAACCGGTCCAAACGTGTATTTAGCAACCACGTTTCACTGTAAAGAGTTCAGAACTACCTTTAGACCCGGGGGGTTGCATGATATAGATCTATGTTTCAGAAGATCATGATGAATGAAGTACCGGTATCAGTCAAACCGTTTGCGCATCGGGACCGACGCTGGTCACCGCTGTTTTGTTCAAATTAACGCTTAATTTTTTCAAATTATTATTATTATGAAGGCGCTAAGATGAAGGCAGATGGTACTGCGATGACACAATTCCAAATACCCTCGAGGAGTGGGTTAATCCAGCCGTACCACGATAAATTAGAAGGTTCGGTTGGTTTGCCAGTAATTGCCGAGTAAAATCACAATCTTACGTAAGAACGGTAACGCGCGAAATCTGGAGCATTATTTCCAGTTTAATCAACACCAAAGCAAGTGCTTGGACAAGAACATTTGGTTAACAGTTATAGCATAAACATAGTGCCGATAGTGAATGTGGTACGCACGAATTGCAGTGTTGGTCAGTGCGGTAATTATTCGTTAGCAACGTGATTCCTGTTGTTATGTTGCAGTGTTCAGTTGTCGTTATCCTAATTAGCCGACCGGCATAAATCTTTAATACAGACTAGGGTTGTTAACGGTGCGGTGCGGTGTACACCGGTGTGCCTTCGGTGCGGTTTTTACAAGAAACCGCACTTAGCTTGCCGGTGTAAAGCGAAAAACCGCACCGGACGGTGCGGTGAAAAATGAAAATCGCACCGCAATTTTGTACACCGCACCGCACCGGTTTACACCGGTGTGGCGCACGTCAATAACCGAATGAGCAGCAATTAGCCAATTACAAATTACCGACTTTATTTACTCATCAATCTCCACAACTTCTTGACATTGCTTCACAATTGGATACCAAGATTTCAGGGACATTAGCGCCTGTACCGTGCTAGACATTAACCGGTTTCTGTCTTTGGTTAACAATTTGCCACTCTTTGAAAACCTTCGTTCAGAATCGACAGAAGAAGCACAAACGCCGAACACATCAATCGCTAACCCGTGTAAACCAGGATAGAGTTTGCTGTTACGCTTCCAGTATTCAAGGACGTCGCATTCAGGCTCTTTAGCAGCACCTAGGTATCGGTCGACTTCGTTTCCTCCATTCAGAGACACAGACGAAATTCTGTTAAGAAATTTAGACCGAATTGAACCCGAGGCTGACTGAACAGGAACAACTGGCGCAAACCGCGTTATTGTAGTAGGCGTGGTATTTCTTCAACAAATTTAAACAAATTAATATCAGCGTATAAACCTGTATTAAATTTACAAAATTCTATGCACTAAAAAGAGTTACCCGTCACTTCTTTCCGCTGCTCCGCGGTTTCATAAACTTCCAGCTTTGCGCACGGATCCAGCATTTGACAAACAAATACAGTTTCTTGGTTCCAGCTATCCGTCTCAACTTCCAATAGCTTCTGACGCATGTTGTCTGCGCAGTCACGGATCCACGATTTCTACAAAACACCACATTAGCTGCTAAAACTGAACTCACTTAGCGAAAATATAAATACATCTGATTAAGTCATCTACATATGTACTATGTACATAAGTAGATGACTTAATCATATATATTTATAATTCGAAAATTTTAGTTTGGAATGTGCTGTTTCATGTTATCGCTTACTAATGCAAAGTTAAACCGGCAGCCTTCAAAATGTAGGGATAGTGTTTGAAAACATGGCTTCGCAAAATGAAAAGTAGGGTACATCGTCCCCAAACAGTCGCGTGTTACTTCGTCAAGGGGACTAAGTAGATCAATAAGCCCTTTCACATCTTCCCACTCCTTTTCCGTCAGAATGTGCTTCTGGACGCTAGCCGATCCCTAATTCGTCAAAAAGCGACCCAGGTCATTCCTAGACGCGTAAGCTTCTACCAACATCTTCAGCGTGCTGTTCCATCTGGTCTTCACATCCAGCGAGAGTTTGATATCCTTTCGCTTAATAAAGGCACGGTACTGCTTCTTCGCCTTGGGCCTCTTTGCGTATTTAATCATTTCGTGAATGCGACGAACCAAATGCTCTTTGTCCGAAAATCCCACATCTACAACGTTGTGAACGGCATGGCAGATGCATCTCAAGCGAAACTCCGACACTGTAAAATACCGTAAAAATTAGAATTTCACCGCTTCCTCTTGCGACAAACAAGGTTACAATCGTGGTTGTAATTTAAACTTTTTCTTTACAAGTTAGTAAAACTTCTGATCGTTTAATGTACTGAGTACTTCCTGGAATGTGCGTAAAACCTAGCATGTACTCTATAAATTTAAGAGGTCGTGCATGCAGAAAACGCCTGTGCCAACTTCCCGCGTATACAACCAACACTCTTGTCCGAACGTTTCTTACTTTGATCGCCGTGTCTCTGATCAGCCCTCTCCAGACGCAAGGACAAAAATATATCCTCACAAAACGCCTTCATGTTTGCCGCTCCGTCCACTGTAAAGCCGAATGTCTTATGCGCAATGCCGTACTCATTCAGTATTCCAAGAACAGTGGCTTTCAAATTCGCCGCAGTATGCTCAATGCCGGGATCTATGAAGTCCAGTAAAATCTGCGCAAAAGTGTTGTCTGCTGTAATCCAGTGCGCCGTCACGGCCATGAAGGCTTCCTGTCCAACCGACGTCCAAGTATCCTACGTGATACTAATTCTGCCAGGAGCGCTGGCCAGTATCTTCTTAATCTAATAAAAATTAGACCCTTAAAATGTGTCATCTTTATTATTAAAATATTATTCATCAAACAAGTCGCAGTTACGATATTAAATTTGAATTCCATATCACTTTGCCAGACAGAATATTCGTCGCTAAGCACAAATAGATGAAACATCAGTTTCTTACCTTTTCTTTCATAATCTCATACTCGCTCATCACATTTTCTTTCAATGTCTGACGACAAGGCACTCTATAAGCCGGATTCAACTCACGAAACAATTCCTCCAGTTCCTCTGTTTCCACGATTCGGAAAGAAAGGTTTGCAGCGACAATCAAGCGGGGTAACAGATAGTCAATCTGCTGCTGTTTTTCTTGTCCAGTTTAACCGGTTTTGCAAGAAACAGTTCTGGAATGGCACGCTTTTTTCCTTTCTCTCCAGCGTCGAATTTGCTCGGGTGCTTGGTTCTTACGTGAGTCCACAAAATAGTTGTCGAGTTGGAGTCCTTATAGCTGGCGGAGCAATAACGACACACGTACTTTTTCCTCTCGGCATCCTCTGTAAAGTGCTGCCAGATTTCGGATAGTTTACTGGAAGACGGCAGCTTATGAGATGTGCCTTGGCTCCCATCCGCAGAGACCGCGCTGGCTGGAGATGCTGGTACTAAAAGACTCATCGTCGAACTGCTGATCAACGCCACACGCAGCGCGTTCTGCGCTTTCCTCTCTATCCCGACGGATTTCTTGGGCAAGAGATAAGCCCCCTAAAGGCATCGCTAACAAGATGTATCCAGTCGAAGAAAAACTGTCATGAAGATTGAAGGCAAAAAATTTCGAAACCAGATTTTCTCGGATTCTTATTGACTGAAGCCGTGCAACTCGTTTGCTACAGCGCTACACATTTTCTTTCTTATGGCAGTCCAGTTGTTGCAGCAGCTGTGGTATCAGGCGCGCTCTGAGTTTAAACTTGTGACTGCCGTTGAGTGAACACTCACACACGTTACAGCCATATAGAGCTACGCCCGCCACGGCCGGTGCGCGCCGTGAGCGCGAACCCAGCCTGCAGCGTGAATTAATGAACTTTATTTTTTTTTAAAATTACGAAATTGCGATATCTTCGATTAACCGGTTGTTAACCGGTGTACGTCGACGCGGTTACCCGAACGCACCGGTGTGTGCCGGTGTAATTTTTGATAAAAACCACACCGCCTATACCAATTTATTTTTTGAAATTGCACCGCAATTTTTTCAAACCGCACCGGTGCACTGGTAAAAAACCGCACCGTTAACAACCCTAATACAGACTTCACCGGATACGCTACAACAGTCAACTGTCTGGCGTTCGGGGCCGCGTGGACACATCCACTGATTTCAGTTCAGAAAAGACAGAACTTTATTAAATATCAGAACCCTTCATAATGAAAACATGGATTCACAATTCTGCCGAGTGCATGCGCTCGCTGATTCTGTATTTATGGAATAGTGATTGTATCAAGAGACATCACCGCCAGTGCCACCACCATCCTCATCGTCACTAAACAATCCGCTGTATTCCGGCTTGGCATACAGCTCGTAGATGCCCCACAGTGCCAGTTTGCTGAGTTGGCCCAGCTCCACCGTTAGCAGGTCGACATCGTCCCACTCGCGCGGACTGCCATCCGGCCGGAATCCGCTGTACCTGCAGCCAGCAAAATCGCCCCTGAAGCCCAGCACACCGCAATTCTGTTGTCCAACCCGGTGTTTTCTTTTGCGGCCTCCATTTCAGCGTATATTAAAATCAATCAATCGTTCAAGATAGGTATATAGACAGTACTTCACTACTTCGTCGCTGGTGATCCAGCTACTGACCCGTACAGTTACCGTGACCAATCTACGGATGATATCGAAGTATGGCATTTCTCCGCTTGGCCGTCATAGGAGGTTACAATGCAATGCAGCACACCTAACATCACCCTGCAGCAGGGTGCACTTACTTGGAGAAGAAGCCGCGGACGACATGCCAGTGCTCCGGGTTGGCCAGAGCCGTGCGCCAGCGCGTGTATACAGCAGCCACTCTGGCTAGCACCTCGGCCGTGGCCGGGGGAAACTGTCGGTCCTAGGCCCACATGAAGCTGCGTCGGGTGTGCGGCCAGCCATCCTGCCAGTCACAGATCAGACGGGGAACGCCGATCAGCGTCTCCTCAAAAGCGCAACTGTCTTCGGTGGGATACTCTTGCACGTTGACGAGACGAAGCTCCTCCGCGGGTAAGGAAAACCAACCTGGAAGTAACCCGTGGACATCGGATTCCATCGTAGAAAACAGCGCTCGCCCGATGTCCAGTACATGGAGGATCAGGCGCGCGCAGTGTGGCCGCAAGTCTTGCAGAATTTCCGGTATCCTGTGTAACGTGATTCATATTATGTCTGTGCCTCTAGCGTTTAGCCATTCTGCAGAGCTGACTGTCTAGTTCTTCCACCTATATGCTAGTCTGTTGATATTCTATGTCTATACATCATACATCATGTAGTCATCTAACTAGTCGATCGCCTGAGCAATGTACCAGCACCGTTAGCTCCACTAAAACCCTTCGTTACACCTGAGTGTCAAGCAGAAGGACTTCACCGCCAGGACCGGCAGTTTGATGTGGAGGACCCGCAATAAGTCCAGCGCGCACCAGACGACGTGCCAGTTAAACTGTTCCGCCGGCCAGTCATGGGCACGTGCGACGATGGTCAGACTCTTCGTAGCGCCGCTGATTCTCCGGCTCAACGCCATCGCGGTGCGGCAGCAGTTCAGGTGGTCTCCGCATTCCGTTGTGGCCAGATGTTCTGTCGCGACACGAATGCGTTGTGTAGTCCGTGGATGGTCCAGTATTGTTTGCCATAACGCACACTCTCTGCCGAACCAATTACTCAATTCAGTGACGGTCGTCTTGTTGTCAGTTCTTCGGGTATATTTATTACAAATTAATTCCACCGCATTACCGTCTGGCTTTTGCGTGCGTGTGCAGGTCCAGATCTTGCAGCGCCTCGGTCAACAGTATGGGCGGCAGATGACACAGACACGCAGTCGGGCAACTCCTATCGACATCTGTGGGCGCTTTGCTTTTATTTTCGGTGCTGCGCCTGCATCCTTCAAGGAAAAAGCCAAAAGTTAGAAGCAGTGAATATAGAGTTTCAACATATCTGGACAAATCACAACGGCCGCATAACTTTTTCAAGTCCTCTTGTTCTCAATTGGCGCCTGGCGGCGTCGAATGACTACAGATACAGAGTACGAGTAGCTTTCTGGCATTTCGTTTGCACCGAGCGCGTAGCGCGAGGTGCTGCAATTAACTGATCGTCAAGATCATAAATTTGTCTGACGCCACGAAAATCGTCACGGCTGACTTTTTCAATTCCACAAACCCAGTACCACTACTCAGTGGTATTGGCGCTCGCGCTCGAGCAGTAAACCAATATGGTGGTTAACAACCACCGCTAGTACAGTGTATTTTAGTTAGTGATCTGACAGCTATTCCCGTTACTGAACTTTGTGCCATTACTGCAACAGTTTCGTCATGCACAGTAAATCTGTACATTGCGTGGTTACAAACAGCACCTGATACAGCCGAAAATTTTCGTTTATGTCTGTTCAGTTTTTGGAAGAATGGCAACTTCTTACGAGCTATGCCGCATTCGCCTTACAAACCTAAAGTTGTCCAAGTCGATAATTTTACAGGCAGGTGACGCTGGATTGCGACACGAGCGAAGCTCGCGGAACAACAAGCGCAACATTCTGTGCAGGGTTCGTAGCTTCCTTTGCACAGTAATAGCCGAAGCCCAGATTTGCACAATCAAAAGGCATACAATAATCCCAAAATCAGCGATAGTCGTCAATCAGATTTTGCTTTTAGTGTTTTCAGAACTGCATCTTTCACCGGGCCATTCACCCCAAAAGTTAACAACTTAGATCATGTTCCGAACATTTACGAAACAAGTCCATATTTTGTATACAGAAAAACATATTTTAAAAACAAGCAAGTGTGGTGAGAGCAAATGCGTGTACATATCAAGCGAAGGGAGGAATTAACTTGGACATGCCAGTAAAGAAAGTAATGGACGGAGTGAAAAGTAATATCGAAAGTCTGTGTACCGCGAATACTGAGTGAAAAACAATGAAAACTAGTAAACTGAACGGTGAAGTCTGTAATTTATTTTCACATATTTTTCAAATATTTCAAGAAAACATAAGAATTACAATAAAATAGAAGTAACATAAGAAAATAAGAAATGTCACAGTCCCAGTTGTCCAGGTACGCTAATTTACTCCGCGCAATATGGGCGGGGTTTACGAGGGTTGCGTATGCTGGTCAAAGTCGAGGTAAATTGTATAGTGCGTAAGGCCGCGGTATCGTGCGGGATTCTGCGATGGGGATTTTGTCGATCGTATAATATTAACTTGGTGCGCACTACCCCCGATAACGACACTAACCGCTGTCGCTAAACTGCCAGTGACCCTGTGTAGTGCTCATAAAAGGCTCATTTGTTTTGTACCAACTATATATTATTACACTATGCCGACGATGTTCAATCTAGCTTCAGTTGTATTTCTTCACTGGACAGACGCACCCTCAAGCCAGTAAGCAGTCCAGCTCGTACGAATGACCGGCCGCTTGACACCGTCCGTTGCATATCTGCGCATTATTCTCCACAGTGAGTCCCCTATCCAGTTCTTGGTGGTGAGGTCGTTCCGGCTGCTAACGACAATAAAACTGTAGGTGCTCCATTCGAATCGCAGACTGAAACGACAGCTGTCCGCAATACCCGCCAGCGATGGGTGCGAACGGTATTCTTCCCGAAAAAGGTCAATTAGCACCGACACGGCAGTTGTTTGCCCAAATAGCATGGTCGTATTGGCAATTTCATGCTTGACATAGAGGAGGCCGCTGGTTCGCGCTAGCAGCGCTGCTTCGCCGATCGGCAGTTCTCTCAGAATCTGGCAGCGATCCACAACGGCCAAAGTGGTAGCTGCGTCAGTTCCCGGCACGTTCGTGGAGACCACGTACATCTGGCATTCGCCAACGCAGCGCAGCACCGTCGCGGGACGGAAGCGGAAGGGACCGGCGTATTCATCGCGGAGCGCCACGAAGACCGGCTGGTCGGGGTAACCGAAGTACTCTGCCGAGCACGGATCGCGGGGAGGTAAGGGAATCGGCCAGACGCGCGCGGCCGGGACGCGGCGCGCCGGCTGCGTGGACGAGTCAAAGTCCACCAGTACCTCGTCACCGGCAATGTCCTGGATGTACCCCAGCCAGGCACTGCCGTCGTCCTGCTCCGTCTGCACACAGACAGTATTCTGGTAACTGATCGACTCGTTCCCAACCAGAAGCCGTCGAAATGCCGGAAACATTGGCGTGCAGTCCATCTGGGGCTGCAAGGAGAAAAATCACAGCGTGCAACAGTTAACTTATCGGGAATCGTTTGCTACATCATCAACTCCAGAATAACCTCTCGAGTCTGCTGTATCTGGTCTTCCGGGTGGCCAGAGTGGCGGTCGGGTTTAATAAGGTGCCCTGGACCACGTTCGATGTCTAATCGGTATTAATTTAAATTCTTTCGAAATACTAATAGCAAAGTCCAGACCATGTACAGAGTACAAATTGATCGTGAGTTACACCTACAGGCTACATTAAACTGAATTCTGAAACAAACAACAGCCAGAAGTGCGCAACCGAATGCGAGCACCGGAAAGTGCCGGGCGCAAACAGCGGGCACGCGCGTGACGCCAGCCGATTTGATCTAAGCGGCCGGTGTCACGCGCGTGCCCGCTGTTTGCGCCCGACGCGACGACGCGCAGCGCCACCAACCAACACACGCAAATCGCGCGCAGCGAAAAGAAAAACAGCGGGAGTGCATACCCTCCAGCTAACATTGACAGCAATTAACATCGTTAACTGTAATTTACACCTACAGGCTACATTAAACAGTATTGTAGAGTATAGTGAAAGCACACGTACAAGTACGTACAATGTACAATTGCAGCGATATGACTGTATTCTCGTGAATGTGAACAATGTCCGCTCACCGCTGTCCATTGTGCCGTATTAGTGGTAATGAAAGTGCCCACGCAGCTGCGTTGTGTTGCAAAAGTGTGTATGCAACTTGTGTGTGCTTGTGTATGTAAGCTCGACCAGCGAGCGGATAATAATACAAGTATTATTCCGCCACTACAAACATGACAAGTATAAAGGTCTGACTATTTAGCGAAATGTTTTCAAAAAATAGGCGCAATTGGAAATAGAAAATTTTCTCGTTTCCCCCCACAGGGAGGAAACGCGAAAATGACGAACGGGCGGAAATAAGGGAAAAGCGAGGAAAGCAACATAAAAGATGTAGAAAAGTAGCTCAAAAAAGTCACTTGTCTGAAGTTTTCCCTAAATTTTAAGTCATTTGGGAACGGACGCACGATGGCACTAAATATACCCATTTTTAAATAAAAACGACTGTAGTTAAAGTTAGTCGATTAATGTGCGCCAAGTAACAATTTCGGGCAGAGGGGTTTTTTCTTGTAAAAACGGCAGCATTCTACACAATGATCGTGCTTGGCCAAGAAAAGGGAGATCTGAGACCTCCCACGTTTGACTTTCGAAAACTCCGCACGCAGGTTTTTTGACAATAAATATTTTACCAGTGCTTTCAGAAATCATCTGGTTTAAAGTCGTTTTTGCAACAGCAGTGTTTTAGCGTCAGAAGTACATGCTGGTGAATAACTGGATTCACCAGAAAGTGTATTGTGGTGAATCCAGTGATTTTGCTGTACTATAGTTTTAATCAGGCAATAGCCAATTAACATAACAAAAAGCCTGCGCTGATAGACAACAAAAATTTCGATTTACATACACGTTTCAGAAACAACCAAAGTTATTACTGTCACTTCCAACTTTTGCTGTACTTTTACTGAATACGTACTCCTGCAGTCCTGCGAGTCCGGCAATGGCCCGCGCTGAAACTTGGGTCCGGATTACTCACACTTGGATCTAGACCCCTCGAGCATGAATTACTTAACCTGGAATACGTAAATTGGATTACTTAAGATGACTTAAACATAAGAACATAAAAAATAACATAAGAATAAGAGAAAACATAAGAAAATGTAATCCAAGTTTGAGTAATCCAAAATCCGAATCCGAAATTAAGTTTCAGCGCGGGCCTTCATGGGGCCCCGATCAAGAAGTATTGCAGCCGCACATGTGTGGCGGTGACTGCAGTCATTTTGCTGTAGTGCAGTGGCTCGTGTGGTGTGGGTTTAGTCACAGTCAAGTCTTTCGTTATCGTTTTTCGTAAAACACAAATAACTTAAAAACAGGTTAACCGATTTAGAAGTTTCAAGCATCTCAAAAAGAGCAAACTTTTCTGAATCCACCAAAACCAAAACGAACACGATTCGGGAAGTAATAATCGAAGCTGTTCTACTTAACCCTCCAGCGGGCGGTAGCCGAAGGAATGCGAGTTTCATTTTGAAAATCGGGATTTCCCGATAAAAAAAATCAATTAAGAAAGGGAATTTTTTTTAAGCTTGTGCTGACCATAGGTCAGCCGTCGTGACTAGGGTGTTTGCCAACGCCAATGCCCATGAACGGTTTACAGCTTAAAAACATTTAATTTTGTGATAATTAGACGAATGGGAATAACATAAAAGCAATAATTTTATTAAATAGTACAAAAAAAGCACTTCCAAACAAGAGCATAGCAGCGGTCAACAAGTTGACCACTGGTCAGCAAAAAAATTAAAATCTACAAAATCCCGTTGCCATGTATTTTGACCACTATTAACAGATGGAATACAGAAAATAAACGATGCTAACGATATTTCTCTCCCATAACTTTCATTATACTCTCATACGAGGCTGCACGAAGCATTATTTTTGAAGTTTAACATTGCATTTCCTGTATTTCTGCACGCCTAGCCGCCTTTATACTGCCCGCATTGTGCGCGCTTGCATTTTTCCGTGGTGTGGCCGCAAGTGCCACTATCTAAAAAGCTGCGCGGATAGTCCAGCTGCAGTGGTCATTGGCGCAGAACAAGATATTAGCGGTCGCTGGTCAGTAGCACCTTCTGGAACACATTAGCGACCGGAAGAAACTAGCTAGGCTGCCGCAAAGGTCAGGATCCCCAATGTGCACGCGTAAGTGTGCAATTGCTGTAGTTTTCAACCACCCGAGACTGATCACACAAAATTCGTGTTTCTGAAAAGCTGTGCAGCTCTCGCCTAACTTACCCAAGCGATGCATCAATATGTAGAAACGCGGCAAAGCGCGTGGTGTTGTGCCGAAATTCACAGTGTTATTGCAACATCTGAAGAATTGCAATCAGGACTACAATGTTCGGTTTTACCCGCGTTCTGTTTTCCTGAAGCAGACAAATTTAGAGGCGATTTTGCTTTTCGCCGACCGCCCGGGGTATTGATACGCAAAGCGTTTTTTGCCAGCTTCCGACCAACAAAACCGCGTGGCGCATGTTTTGCGTACGTACCGACAGCTACTTGATCTGATTACGTGATAAAGAGAAGCAGTCGAAATTGCATCCGCCCGTGTATCTGAGACCCTTCATGGGCAATGGTGTTGGCACGCAACACAATATTTTGACGGACTGTGGTCTTCTACTGTTCAACTTACAAGACCTGTGTTAATCGATTTTGGATAGAACGTTGTTAGTTGTACGTTGTTGATTTATCTCTGGTTTAATTATTCGTCCACTAATTAGTTAATTAGCAAGATCTACGAGAGCTTGAAAAGTCCGAAATTAGCCGTTTTCGGGCAACGGTCATTTGTAATTGACTTGAGATATAAGTTTGAATTATGTTTTTACTGCTTCTTTAAAGTCTCTTATTGCTAATTATGTTAATTGATATTCATTAACTGTTCCCAATCATTGGGAAAAAAATTCGGAAGACCATGTTGCGTCCTGACGCCAATGCCCGTCAACGGGTTAAGTAAGTGCATGCCGTCCATTTTATTTATCATGGTGGCTTACTTAAGGAGAATTTATGCTATGGTAGCAAGACTGAAAATGAGCTGTTCGAAATTTTACAGTGTAATAAGAATAGTTACATCTATTACTGGGCGAAAGTTCAGTACATTCAGGTAGCAACGAAAAAACTTATTCAAGTTTTTTTGTTGCCGACCAGGAGCGATTTGGCGGGCTAGCGTATCTATCTACAGTACTGCCACCTGTGATCAAAATTAGTGAAAGAAAGATTGCACCGAGATGTGCTTTCTTTCAACCTGGAATATGCCTTGTGGCTGTTATATTCCAGGCCAGATTGCAAGAGTAATAGGACCCGAAAAAAATGTAGTAAATACGAATATTTGGTAACCGAGTACGATTTTGTCGCTTTAGCTTTTGAGACTTTTGGTGTTGTCGGTCCATCGTGTTTGAAATTTTTACGTGAGTTGGGTAAACGCCTAAAGGATGCTACTTGTGAACGACGATCCTACGAGTTCTTGTTACAGCGTCTTAGCATCGAAATACAGCGTAGGAATGCGCTGTCGGTTACATCAACTGTTCCACGTTCTGATGGATTAAGTGCTGTTTACTTTGTTTTGTGATCAGTTTTTGGGTATGATTTTAAACTGCTAGGTAATGACTAAACCAATAAATATTGATCATAGGACCAGACAAGGCTCATGTTTACACAGAGGACGAATACAGCATAACAGAGGCGCTAGACACATAGCGCTATCCCGTGAGCGCACATGAAAGAGTGGCCAAAGTCCACTCTTCGCTGTGCACACACTCAGTGTGGCGGCACTGCAAGCGCAGAATCGGTAAGACCAAAGGAAAGCGCAGAACAAAAGAAGGTTCTTCGCCACTTTCTGAAAAATTTTCCAAAATTGACTTCTAAACTCAATAAGAATTTTCAAAGATGTCAGAAAATTATGACATTTGATCAGATTTAAGGAAAATCATTTTCAAGAAGAATTGTGGAGCGTTTTTGTGAAAAATGTTTGCGTATTTTGTAAAAAATAAAACATAGGAACTTTGAGTGTAAAAAGTTTGTTTTTTTCAAGAATGGTTGAGTTTTTTGGAAAAAACGCTACACAGAACTTTACTCATTTTAGCGGAACACATCGCTACGCTTGAAAGAAAAATTTCAAAAATCTGCTTGAATTGTTATTGCTTCCGGAAAATAACGGCTTTTGATCAGTGACTTTTACATTTTAAAATTGTCTAACCAATTTCAGACTTTTAGTGTATGTAGCGAAAATATCATAGCGTTAGGTCAGATGTGTACATAGTTATGATGCAGCACAAGCGCACGTATTGCGCCAGCGACAATAGGGTCGAAATCGGTATAATCTCTGCTTAAGTCTTCTTACGCATCGAAGTCGTTACGTCAAATACAAGCCACTGAAATGATTGAATGCAGTAATTCTGAAGCAGCGGGCGCAAATTTTAACAACTATAGCCAGACGGTTAACTGTCTGTGATGTATGCAACGTATTACTGAAATAGGTAAATAGACACCTGAAATAGGTACAATAAATATCTGAGAGAACACTGACTGAACGATAACTGCGAAGTAGATAATAACTATGTAGATACTCGTAAAATGTCGGTAGAGTACGCAGGAGCAGTCAAATGTATAAAACAGAAAGTTGCTGGGATTTTAGCTACACAGCAATACAGGAATTGTTGTGCATCTTAATTATGAAGAAATTTCAACGTAAACACGATTAATGTTTATGCTACTAATACTAGTACTATCGCATA